TGACATAAAAAACTAACCTCTTGAGCTAATTTGTACAACTGTCGAGCTGATACAGCTGTTGTGTGAGTGCGCAAAACATTCTTTTGTGCCTCTTCAATCTTCCAATCATAGTTGTACCTGAGGAGATAGACAGGTAGGAATTAAATGTTGGAAAAAAAGAGAAGTAAGTTGAGGGCATGTAGCGATAATGCTAGTTAGAGGATTTTGGCAAGTATGCAAGAAGCAGAAACCAGATGACTATAAACGAGAATTCTTGAGGTAAGGTGTTCGCAGAAAGGACGAAAGCAAGCGCAGTAAGATTTAAAAATTAACAGACGGTCAAAAGGTGTAGTTTCATCGAAGAAAATGATCACAAAGATCTCACCCCGCAGATCCATAGCCGCCTTTCGAATGTACGGTTTTCACACGTTCCAAATAGTCCATAGGGAACTTTGTGCTGAGGGCAGGTTCTGAAACAGGAGTTCTCTTCAAAAAGTTGATGATGAACCTAACTTGGCTTATCCAAAAAAGGAACGATTCAGAAATTAATAACATTTGAAAAGTTCTCAATAAATGAAAATTATATGTCAAAAACAAGTACCTGAAACAAAGAATGTGTCATGTGCATCCCTTGCAGGATGCTGTTGAGGCTGGAACAATGCGTCAAAATTCCAGAACGAGCTTTCTACATATCGATTTGTCGGCATTTCTGAGAATCCCATGGAGAAAAAGATTTGTCGAAACTCAGAGCGCACCTGAACCAAGGATAATACCTGGGTTGAAATTAACACAGTCATTTCAACAGTGAAGAGTAAATGGACAAAAAAGGATTAAGCTTTTGCTTGATTAGTGAGATCTGCTGAAGCCTTACGATCCTGACATCAAGTTCAATGGATGAGTACTATGGGAAAAAAACACAAGAAAAGGTAATTTTGCTAACCTTCATCAATGGATGCAAGTGACCACATGGAGGCTGGACGCCAAGAGCATCAAAATTGTACTGTTTGAATGTCTTACTCTTCCAAGATCCTCTAAAATAAGATTTTGTCATGCAACTGAGTGGAGATA